CACACACACACACACACACACACACACACACACACACACACACACACACAAGAGGATACAGACACACACCAACCCCAGCCTGGCCCATTTTTTTGTTGATTTGTTTTAAATTTTTGCATCTTCATTTTTTTTAAACACCTAGTTTCCGAACAGAAAAACGAAAATCGTTTCAAAAAAAAATACAACACAACTCAAGGACCATATCCCTCATGATAAAAGAATGCCAAAAAAAAAATGCTGCTTTTCTTTTTATTTTTTAAAAATATTTTGTTTAAATTGAATTTCATTTTTCATTTTTAAAAAATCTTAAACGAAGTCGGATTTCGAAATAAAAAACATAGGATTGTAGGGTTTTTCAAGCCCTACACCCCTATATATAAATATATATATCGTCACAAACAGAACTGCCCGGTAAACCGTAGGCAGAGATATGTTTTACGTATTTTTAGGGGTAAAAAAAATAAATTAAAAAACCAGGCCGCGGAGTGGGCCACAGCGGCCGCGGCCGCGGCCGAGATTCTCGGCCGCAGCGGCCGAAATGCCCGTGGCGTAGGCCGCGGGTGTCACATAGCCCACTCGCATACATGTGTCCTTTCCTCGTTATACGGAAATGGTCGCGATGGGGTTGCATGGAGTCGGCACCCAGTCGGGTTGGGACAATCAAACCACATGGCACAAGCAAACTCCGAGTACGTGAGTCTACCCAATAGGTTGTTCAATCACAAAGGTAAACAGTCGCAATTTTACGTGCTTTATTGCCTTTCATCCATTCACCAAAACGATCAAAAAGAAAAGTGCGAGTTCGACCCAATCACAACAACAATCATCATTCATTAAGGGAGCGACAAGCATGCATTCCAATAATCTCAACGGGATTTCAGCTTAGTTAGTCCAATCAATGCACATGTGTAACAAATCCCGCATATACAAATCCTCCGCTGTTGAGAGACACATCAACAATTGAAAAAGAAAACCGATAAGATCTCTTGGGGCTTACTGGTCCCTTTGAATTCAACGATGCTCATTCGTGTGAGATCCGGTTGGATTCAATAGGGGTGAGCGAGATCAAGGAAATATCTGGTCATTTTTGGCATTTATCAAATAGATAAGAGCAGGGGAACGAGAGCAAGAGAGAGAGAGGGAGACGGAAGCGTAGCTTGACCGAAGTAGAGGACCAAGAAGAGGACTAAGAAGAGGACTAAGAAGAGGACTAAGAAGAGAGGGAGAAAACTTTCGTCATACAAACAATCTTGAGAGGGAGCACCCAACAATTCGTCGTGGACTTGGCTTTGCAAGGAACCTGACTGTTCACAGCTTGCTTGAGAGCATCACACCGCATGCATTCATGTCATCACACGTATAAAGTGGTCTCACACAAAAACCA